TTGCCGAGGTGAGACTCAATGTGGTGGGAATGTGCATAACGTAAGCAGTACGCGTGTTGCTGAGTTCGACTTCCCCACGGAGAACCTCGATAGTGGATGTTTAATTTGTGCTTATTCACTTTGATTTTCATTTAAACGCTTTATTTATCACATTGTGTCCTAAATGTGATATCTCGATGTAAATTCTGTAAAAACGATTTTTTAATACTTTCTTCCCCCTTTCGCATACATGCTATTTTGAAACTCGCCCCAGTCCTCTCTCAAAAATCAAGGAAAATGCATTTGGTGCGCACTTTCTGCAGCTCTACCGCAAAAACGAGTACGGTGACCCCCATTTTTTATTTCATGATTTTAATAAGGACAGTGCTTCCTTTCAGTGAGAAAAAAATTGGCACAAATCTATGTTCAGTTTTTCGGCAATTTTACTAAATTGTACGGATTGAGCTACCTCGTGTCGAATAGCGCGTGTCCAATTTAATTCTACTTTGGAGCGTAAAGTAAAAACAAGGGCATTAAAAGGCATTTTTCTGGTACGTAAGTGGATAAACGATACATTAAAGTCAAATTCTGTGCGACACCACATGCATAATTGAAAAAATCTTTCCTTTTTGTCTAGTTTTGGGCTGCGGGCGGTTTATGTCAAAGGGTCCAAAATAGTTTGTCAGCATTGTGACGTCAAAACGAGCACGGTGACCCCCACTTTTTATTACCTTTTTATCATCTTCTTGACTTGTTACATCAGTGTACCAAGTTTCGTCTACAATCTGTGTTAGGTTCTTTTACTAGAGAATCACCTTCAGTCGCGCGTTGTAGTTTGAAAAACGATAGTAATACAGGATAATGGTATCCAAAGAAAAGCTGATTTTGTTCAGGATAAGGAAGCAAACCAGGTATTAGATTCTTTAAACTCTATTTACCTTTTAGCATCTTCAGAACTAGGGATAGTCTACTGGATTCTTCCAGTCGTTCTCATTAAATTACCATGTTCCGGGCGTTCAGTTAGTTGGGCGCGGGCGATAAAGGAGTGTGGCAGGGATAAGGCGGGGGAGTGGTTCCCTCGCTAATGCCCCAGTCTCCCCTCGTTTTTTGCTCGTTCGCCGCGTACGATTTAACTCGCTCCCCACCATCTGAACGCCTGGAACAGGTTATATTAGAGAGCTTTAAAGTGATTTTTACGGCAAACGTGAATTTGTACCACGTGACCAAGTTTTCATCATAAACCTGTCGTTTATTGTTCATTATAACTACTATACACGGAAATCAGTAGTGTAAATGACATCACAACAAGCTTTATTGATTTAGTGATATGATATCTCTCGCTTTAAGCTTTTCTGATTCGCTAGTTTCATTTTCTTAGACAACGCCTATTTTTACGTAGAAAACGCATGGTCTCTTAAGTTTAGTTTTAGTTGGATTTCGTCGTCTTCATGTGTACATCATTGTAGTCTATTTGGATAGTTCATTTTTTGGTACTTAGAGGCAAGCGAGAACCGATATGTAAGTACATTTTATCCGCTGTAGTTTTGTCTATCTGGCGACTCATAAAGTATATTCCTGCAAGAAGTTGTTGTAATACTCAGTATCTCGTACCATTACGTGACTACGCCTTTTTGGGTTTCAAGTAGGTTCTTACTTTTTAGTTCGGCGTGGGAATCTCATTTCTTTTAGTTTATTTAGTTTTCGTGCCTTTGCAAGCGTAGTCCGTTCTCAGATTTATTTTGTTAGTTTCTTAGTATAGTATTATTCGCAGGAAGCGACCATTGTTTTTGGGAAGGTTTCTTCACTCCTGCATACCCAAATTTAAGTTGATTTTATTCCTTTCGTGAAGTATATTTAGTCTAATATTCTAGCTGGTAAATTTATTATTCCTGTATTTCAATAAGTATATTTCTTTTGTCTTATTACGCGTTTTTGGCAAGGTTTTTATACCGGAACAGCTACGAAAATGAAAATATGATTGGAATGTCAGTAAAATGGTATGTTATCTGTTTGCCAAACTGTAATTGTAATTGTACTTTAGCTTTTAGTAATTATTTGTTACGTTGCATTATATTTCAGTTTACGGTTCGATTATCGTCAATAAAATCACCATCAAGGACTAGCTCGTAGTTTCGTGATCATAGTTGATTCATGATCGACCAGTAAAATATACCCGCTCACACGGAGTTTCGCCGCCACAAATAGTTTTAGCCGTGTGACAATTGGCTTCTCCTACAGTCGCAGCGTATCACCCGTCACAAGTAGATTTACACGGTCAGGAGCCGATTTACACCAGTTTTACCCATAAGAATTTTTTTGGGCTGTTTCATCTTCTTATTTTCTATTGACGATTTCTCAACTTGAATCTGACATTTGTCGTTTGCCGTAAACGAGATTAACCTCAAATGCTTTGTTATCAGTAGCATTGGTTGGTGCTAAAACAAACAGGTCCCAACGGTTTTCCTGCACGTACAACCAGAGACTGGAACCCCTTACCAAATAGCGTCATTGAAAAGCAGTCAGTATAGTTTACATGGAGGTGGGGGACCCCGACCAGGAAGGTGAGGTAACCCGGTCAGGTGGGTTAAAAAAGTAACCCACGTTGTCATGTAATCTTACAACGCAGTCACCCCCATAATGGGGAGTACTGTACAGTACCGCAAATGATCCCCAACCGCAAATGATCCCGAGACCGCAAATGATCCCCAAAATGGACCTCAAACGATCCTCGACCGCAAGTGATCCCCAAAGTCGACCGCAAATGATCCCGAAAGAAAAATAGGAATGACTTGGACTCAAGTTAGTGGATCATCGTGTCGATTAATTATTATTACAATAAGTCAGATTAAAAGCTAAATTTTACTTCTCAAGTAAATATATGAATAAAAACTGAATGAAAAAATCATTCAAGCGTAAAAACGAAGTCAGTAGGCAACACGACTTTTACCTCATGCTAAAATACTGCTTGTTCCAATCACTTTTTTCCGGCTCTGGCAGGTAGATTATACCTCTGAAGAAAACGTTTTGACTGAGCAAATGTGATTTTTGCCGCTTATTTCATACTGAGAGGTCATGACACGCATTTTCTGCGGTTATTCAGGAGCACCCAACGAGAATATAGTTCAAAACCACTTAAACATAGCATTGTTAAACGTGTTTTAGTATTAAACGGTAGATATAGGCATATTTTTATCCCCTAAAATTTTTTCATCTGTTCGGATTTCCTAGCTGAAAGTCTAGTGATCCGAAAATTATAGGGATCAAAACTTACCTTTTCGAAAATTTCAGTCAGAAAAAAGGCTCCCAAAAATTCTAGGTGACCTTTTTAGGGTAAAAATAGGTCAAAAATAGGCAGTCATGCCATTTTTTAGATGTTCGAAAATCCTAGGAGAGGCAGGAAAGCAAGAAATTTTACAACAAATGTTCCGAAAATTCTAGATCTCAAATCGTCTTCCGAACAGATATTTTCCGAAAATTGTCGTTGGGTGCCCCTGGTTATTGTTGTTTCTGGTCGGCATGATTTGCCCTTTGATGCAAGAGCATTTCCTTTGACCTCTATTGAAATGCAGTGCTCTTCATTGCTGCTAAATAAGGGTTTTAGGTTGTTTAATTTTCTCCAAAGTGCCTCCTGGATCCGAATAATCATAAGCGACTTTCTTTTAGTACGTGAATGTGACGGTTTCCTACGATGTTTTGTCACGCGATAACTACCGCTTAGCGCCGATATAACTATTCACAACACGTTCATGAGCTGTAAGAAAGTTGCTATTTCGAAATAAATCGAAACCTGTGGACATTGATAAGTTCGGGGGCATTTTGACTTGTGTTTCTGTTAAATCATGCCTTGTTCCGTAACGGGCACCTAAGTTACGAACAAATGTCTTGCTGTTTATCACGTAAAATTGACATTTCAGAGAAAAATTAAAATGAAATATTCTGGCTGATTAATTTCACGCTTTCAAAAAGATCAGTAAAGTCAATAAAGCTCTTGTTATGTAGAGGGTGCCCGGCTTTATATTCCTCAGTAGAAAAGTTGAGCTTCTAGGCGTTAAAATAATAGAGTTTTTTCTGCGTAACGTCCTGCCTGTCTTAAATTTTTCAAAAGACGAAACATTCTTGAACAACAATTGAAGCAATCGACAAAGGAAGAAGTATACGGTTAATACCATACCTTTTCAGATTTATTCAATTTTTTTTTCGCCTTGTATAAATTGACCTGA